TTTGTCTCCTGCCCAGCCAATGGCTAATCAGGAAGCAAGGAAGGCATAGTTGGTTGTTCCTGCCTCATCTAAGTACAGCAGCAACCTGTAGCCTTCCTGAGCCCTGAGCTCTTCATACTTAGCAGAGTCCCCAAAAGAACAGAAAATAAACAGCATCTCTACCCCCAATCAGCAATTTCAACCTGTCACTTTTGCAGAACCCCTGAGTTCTAGGTTTTACTTGTCCACTTGGCCCCAAAGTTCTTACCTGCTCCTCCTCAACTTTGCTGGTTTTCCAAACTCTGGACTCTATCTTCCTGCCTGGTTCTATGGCGCTCACTCCCTCCTTCCTATTTGGATTCTTGGCCTTAACTCATCACCAATCTGGTGCCACAGAATCTGCCCCATTCCCACCTCTATGCCCACTCCTGCTAGAGAGCAAACCTTGTCTTGCCTCTGAAAAGTTAGAAGCTTGAACTATGTTACTTTATGGTTTGAGGTCTTGTTCTACAGAGTCAAAAGGAAGAACTACCCATCTGTCCTTAAAAATTAGTGTAACTGTTGAAGAAAGTAAAGTTAAGAAAATGTGCTCACTGGCTCTAATTAATGTTGTATGTGTTGTGATAAAATGTGCAGTGGCAGAAGATAAACAACTTGTAGGACTCACTTGAGCTTACTAAACTTCATGTTCCTTTTAAAATTAAAAAAAAATCCTGGTGAAAGGACTAGCGAGGACTCCAAGAGACGAAAACAGGGTCTGTGTGTGTATCACCTGACAACCTGTTTTAGGCTCCTTCCATGCCTTGTAATTTCCCATCATGTGGGACATGGGCCCTCAGGGCACACAGGGGAGGCCTCCATCAGGGCCCATGTAAATCTAAGCAGATCCTATCAAGAACCAAACTTCAAGAAACCCCAGCAGACTATGTGGTCAAGTACTCACTGCCCCCACTTACAGGCTTTTCAGCCGATGTTGGAGGCTTGGGATCTGACTTCAAGAATGACCATGAATACAGGCAATATGGTACTACAGTTTCTACTAGAGAAAACCCTACCTAATTTATCTGCTCAATAAGACTGTTTAATTCACTTAAAAACAGTGGTTCTCCAAGTGTCGTTCCCAAATCGGTAACACTAGCTTCTCCTGGAAGCTCATTAAAAATTCAAACTCTGAGGCTCTACCCAAGATGCAGAAAGTCTGGGAGTGGAGTTCAGCAGTCTGTAGTTTAATAAGCTCTCCAGGTGATTCTGGTTAGAGAACCAGAAACTTAGAAAACAAAAGTGACTTAAAAATAGCTACTCTCATTATTTACTATAAGATCAGAAAAATATCTACTTTCCCTTTATATAGAGTCAATTTGGGATTATTCTCATTGATTCCAGAACACCATGGAACAGATACTGCAGAAGTCACTAAATGACTGGTATAGGCATAGGCTTTTGCAAGAGGTGCACCCTCCTCCTCAGGCTTTGCTCACCAAATTTTATGAATATTCCGAGTCCCTAGCACCTACACCAGAATCTAGCACTTATAATGGCTGAATGAATTAACGAGCTCAATGAATGGAAGAGTGAGCTGGTGATGCTGGCTATCCACACAAAGTCATTTGGAAGCTAACAACCTCCTGTGCTGCATCCACACAGGGATGCCGCCAGTCTGTATCATCAATAAAGACTCTGTTCTACAACTGGCTGCTTAGTCCTCTGGATGCTCCCAAGCAGCAACAGCTGGTATGAGAAAAGATTTGTAAGAATCGCTGGTTCTTCCCAGAGAGAGGTTCAACCATCTCTCTGAGGATTTCTGAACAAGAATTACAAAACTGGCACAATACCAGGAGTGAGCATCCTTCAGAATTCTCCTGTTGGAGTACTATTTTTAAAAAGGCAAGCAAGAGGACACAAATTGCTAGGAAGTTACATTTTTACTGCAATTGGGAGATAAATCTAACTTCTTACCAGAAATGGAAACCCATGTGATATCACTGTACTGCATATGAATTATTAATGTTTACAATCTTTTTTTTGCCAATTAGGTATTCAAGAAGGTTCCTGTTGACATCATGTTTGACATCATAATGCTTCATCATTCTAAAAGCTTAATGCAATGAGTTGTTGCTAGAAAAAGAGAGATCAAGCACACATTTTTTGCACTCTGGGGAATACCAGAGGCCAAGTAGATAATGAGGATATTGTTTATAACTGATGTACAAACAAGAAGAAAAAACCCACCACTACTGCAAATAGAACCAAATGGCAGACTTTATTTTCTACCTGTGCATTTTAGAAAGAGATGGAAACCAACATGGGTAACAGCTATCCCAAACTCTTAAGGCAAAAAAAGGGTCCTTATTCTAAAAATAAATGAAAGTAAAGTTTTTACAAAATTATCTTATCCACAAAAGGGTACAGAACATGTGAACTTAGAGATTGAAAATGGCAATTCAACACTGGGTCACAAGGCCTAAAAGGACACTATTAAATATTTTAGGGCAATTCTGTGATAAAATTCTGTATGGTTTGTATAAATAACTCTAGTCTCAAATTTAATTTCAAATCTATAACTTCTAAGATCTATGCAATTCAAGTCAGCCTGGAATCACTGAAGGAGCAGTTTCATTTCCATCAGTCCTACTAATGGGTAGGACTGAGTGAAGCTCTGATTTGGAATCTTGTTGCTAAAGCAAAGTGAGTTAAATTCCTTCCCAGGTCAAGCCTTTTAACACTTAAACCAAGTAGCAATGAGATTTATACAAGTTTATACTAGCTGCTAATATTGGGACTCATTTTCCCTCCAGTTTAGTTTTTAGTCCATTTGGTCTCTTAAGTAGCCTCTTGATGGAAGCATTAAGATACAGAGAATGGGTTCATTCATTATTCTTTTTTTCACTGAACAAGACCAAGTAGCTAGAGTTGCCAGGTACTAAAATGAGGACCTTGCTACTTGAAAGGCAAAAATAGACAATGTCTCTTGAGCAGCCAAAAAGAAATAGCATGAAGAGCGTGAGTGGTCACCATTTGAACTGTTGCTTCAGGTCTTCAAATTTATTTTTCAATAATTTTTTTCAAATTTCTTTTTAAGACAAAAGCACACTCTCTCTTCAACAAAATTAGAAATAAGGGCAAAATAGTTTCTGCCAGGTAGCGAGGGGGAGGGGGTGGTAAGGGAGGGGGTGGGGGAAGGGGGAGAAATGACCCAAACATTGTATGCACATATGAATAAAATAAAAATTAAAAAAAAAAAGACAAAGCACAGTCTTGCAGTACTGGGGACTAAAACTAGGCACCTTGCTAGGCAAATGCTCCATCACATAATCCATGCCTCCTAGCCCTTTTGTTTTGTATTTTATTATTGAAATAGGGTCTTGTTAACTTTGCCAGGACTCTCGATCCTCTTGCCTCTGCCTTCCTAGTACCTGGGATTACAGGTGTGCGCCATCACACAATGTCAAAAAATGTAGTCTTTATTGATAACATCCCAATTGAATGATGCACCAAATACATTTTAATCCCTTGAGACTGCTTTTAGTGCTAATTTTATGTGAACTAGTGGCAGGAGATGTGAGAGGTCAACTAAAGCAAACTCAGTGTTCAGCATGCCTCTGTATCAAACATGTAGTTGACAGACTGTACAGTCAAAAATCCAGGTTTTGTATATTCTATACTAACAGGGCACTGTTAACATTTAATAGTGAGAAGGGAAGTTTATTCCTGGCACACATCAGGGGCTCAATAAATGATACTTGTATTCTAATGGTACTTAAAATTGTTACCAGAGAAACACTACACCTACAAATAAACATCAGTAAAGTTTTATGTTGCAAAATCAGATTCTGTTATTAAAAAAATTAAATTCCTGAAAAAAAGTTTTTGCTCTTCGAGACTGAAGCCAGGGCATGCTATTTTTCCCTTCTCTCCTCAGTTGTGAACTGACTTGATCCAATGAAGACCAAGAGTTTCTTCATGCTGGGTCAACTGTTGAACAAGTTATTAACTATTAATAAATATACAATTGTGTTTTTGCCAAAGAATCACAGAATGGTTCCTGATAATCTACCGGCCATGTAAAAGCGGTGATTGTCTAACATTAAGAGTCATAAATATGCATTTATTTTTCCCTCTGTGCTCCTCTGTCTGCTCTAAAGAAAAAGGCCAATGTCCAGCCTGACACAATGAAAACCGCCTTGGATATTATAGCAGTTTGAGAACACAGAGAAAGGCACTATCAAGATAGTTTTTCATCTTTAAGCAATCTTTTCCACTTCCTCACAATTCCACTCTCCTGAAAGATCAGATGTATGTGCAGAATCGTCATCTCCAGATAGCTTCCATGGCCACTCACTGTAGCTCTGCTGCCAATCCAAACTCAAGGCTGGGGTCTCTCGATTATGTTCAAGATACAGCCAACCCAGAGACACGCTAAAGTGACAAACAACAGGTTCCACTTGCTCCTCCTCCTCCGGTCCCTTCCTATATCTCTCTCAAAACAGAACAGCTCTCATTCATTCATAAATCCCTGCGCTGGATCCCTGTGCTGACTCCATCCAGCCTGGGTGGCTTGCCCAGCTAAAATTCTGAATCAGTACGAGGCACTCTGTATCCCGGTACCAGGTCTGCACCAGTTCCCTCTTAAGGCATGCAAATCCGGCTCGGTGCTCAGATTTCATTCAGTGACACTCGCCGCGAATGCTCTCAGTGATACATCCCCACCCTCCTGCAGCAGAAATCCGGCCACAGCCTTCCCCCACTCCGTGAGAAACAGGCCAGCCCAACCGCTGCCTCTGCGCTTTCTCCACCGGGCCCCCCAGGACCATCTGGGATCGCTCCCTGAACCCCTCTGGGGGGTCGCATTTACTGAGTCCTCACCACCACCCACAAATGAAAAGTAAACTCCTCCTCAGTGACACCCTCCCCAAACCCTCCGCGTCACGGCCGCTCAACTCCGCGGGAGCCCCCTACCCGTGCGAACCCCGCCTGGACGGGGCGGGCTGCCCCCTGACTGCGGGTGCCGGCACCTGGATTACCTTGACGCTGGTGTAGCTGGTCTGGGTCTCGGCCTCGGCGCTGCTGCAGCAGTGGCGCCTCCGGCCCCTGCAGGTGGTCGCGGCGGGGGCTGCGGAACCCGCGCTGCTGCCGCTGCCCAGCTCGGCCCGGGCCCTGCGGACACGGACAGCACCCAGGGGTCCGACGCGCGGCTCGGGGGGGTGGCGTCGGCGGCGTCGGTGTGCAAGAAGAGGCCGTGCAGGGGGGCCGCGGGGCCCTGCGACACGCTGGTGGTCTGGCGGGGCGAGTTGGACTCGTCCGAGTCCCGGCAGTAGATCACGCCGCTCTGCGAGACATGGATGCTGGGGGCGCAGCCCATCCCTCGGCCGGGTTCCCCCGCGCGCCCGCCCGCGCTCCGGGCCGCCCGGACCCAGCGCACCCGCTGCCACCTGCAGTGAGGGGGCGGGCGCGGCAGCGGTGGCGGCGCCGGGACTGCGTGCCCCCCGGCCTGTGTGGCCGCCGCTCCGTCGGGCTCGCCGCGGTGCCCCCCGCCGAGCGTCCGGGGGCCGCGCGCGTCACCCCAACTTTCCCTTCTGGGCCATCTTCCTCCCCGAACGGGAGAGCGCGCACACACAGCGCCCCGCGCGCACCGGCGGCCGCCACCCTCCCCGCCGCGGCGCCCCAAACACGCTCCCCGCGCCTCCGCCTTCCCCTCCTCCCTCGGCTCGGCCCGCGCCGCCGCCCAGCTCGACCTCGCCGGGCTCCCGCGCCCGCGGCCCCGGGCCAGGGCGCCCGCCCGCACCCTCTTTCCCACTTTCAGTCTGCTGTGCGCGCCGCCCCCTGCCCGTCCCCGCCCCCGCCCCTCGATCGCTCCCTTAGCCCTCCTCAGGTGCCCCGGCTCCGGTCCCACTGCGCCCCTCCGCCCCGCCCGCCGCTCCCCGCGCTCTCCCCGCCTGGGCAGAGCGCGCCCGCCGCTGGGCTCGGCCCGGCCCCTGTGCGCAGCAGCTGGCACCACGCCTCGGCGCCCTCCCCTCCCCTCCCCTCCCCCTGCGCCGACCAGAGGCCTCGTCCGTCGCTTCTGCACCCATCTCCACCTCGCCCCCTAGTGCCCCAGCATCTCCTCCCCTGCCAGCACACACCCCAGGCCACGACCCGAGGGATGGGCAGCCCCTCGGTACGTCTCTCCCTTCTCACCAACACATTGTCACACATTCCTAGGCAAAACACCAGGATATCCACTTCCCGAAAGAGCAGGGACCCTACAGTCCAGGCCCACCTGACTGATTTGCTCGCCTGTCAACACACTCAGGGAGTTAAAAGGAGAGTCCTCATACTTCCATAGGACAGTCCTTTCCTTCAATCCCACCCGAACCCCATCTTCCCCCACATGCTCTGAAGGCTGAGTTGGGTGGTGGCCAGCCTTCAGAAGAAGCCCATTCCGTCATCATTTGGAAGCTCGTGCCAAGGGATGGGAAGCCCTTCAGAGGAAGGAATCCTTTTACACGTAAATTTCCATGGAAGATCCAAGGAAAGAATAGAAAGAAGCTGTCTGCATGGTTTTTAGCTTTCTCCCCAAGTTTTCACCCCTTTCTTGGTATTATTAAATTTTCACCCTGACTTCTACCCCATCCAACCTCTCACTATGAACTGCTCTTCCTCCCACCCTGGGCGAGGCAGTTAAAATGCCCTCCCTCCCTCACCCCCCTTGGTGAGCCATACTCCGAGGGAGGAGAACGCCTTTAGAAGCAAGGCTGCTGTTCATTCTTCCTCTGGAGTAAAATCTGGGTTACAGCTGCCAGGCACTACTGCCCACTTACTCATGGGCTCCTTCAGTAATTCCTGCCACCACCACAATGGCACAAGGGAAATAATGAGATGGTGTAAGAGTTGCTTAGAAGGGCAAAAGCAAAACCACTGAGGCTTAATGCAAAACACAAATAAGTGTCCAATTTGAAATAATGTCTTTCATTCTTCTCTTCCTTTCTCTCCCCATACCTGATGAAGCCCTGAGAAGATCGCTTCGGGTATCGCTCTACAGCTCACAGAGGAGAAAGCTAGTCTAACCTTATTCTACTTTTGCTTCTCATCTCAGTCGATCTCTTTTCATTTTTCTTTTAATGAAATGAAAAACACTCTTTTCGGTTAATCTGGGAAACATCTATGCTCTACTTTCTAATGGACAGGCAAATTGCTCACAAGATTTCTATATAGATTGGGTTCCCCCAAAAAGCAGGCTCGGGATGGTGTTTAGCAGGCAGGGGGCTTATTAGGAAGTGCTCCTGTAATCAACATTTGTGGAAGGACTGAGTGAGGGGAGGAGAATTTGAGCAGAGAGAGGAACTGACCTAGCCTCAGGCATCCTGCAGCAAGGACTCTGAAGATGGGAGGAGGCTTCAAAATTGTCCTGATCTGGTGTGGGAGATGGACCTTTATGCATCCACCTGGACCAGTCATTGTAACACACCTCCTGGGTGACCTTGGGCAAGATGGCCCTCCTCAGGTGAGGCATTCACTTTATGAAAGGGAAGCAGAGCTGAGGCTTTCTGCTGGCAGCACTCCCTGCAGCTGGAGGAGTAAGTCTGAGTCCTTCATTCCGGGCCTCACAATTTCCCCACAGTTCCCTTGAACATTGTCTGGGGACATTAAATGGTGGGAACAGATACGGTGACAATCACTCGTTTAAAACTAAGCCTGATAGCTACCATCTACCCTCTTTCCAAGGGACCTGTAATGTCAAAGTCAGGAGTTAAGCATTCCTAAAGCTTATCTATGACCCTCCTGTATACGCCGTGTCAGCCATTGTCCTTCATGAAATTTTTAGCCATACTAATTCTCATGCCACATGTCTTCGTTTTCAGAGTTCTCTCAAGGAATTATTCAATGAAACCACTCAGAAAAGAACAAAGCACCACTCACTCACTCACTGAGGCTTTTGAAAAAAAGGTGATGAAAAGACAGAAATTATAACCAGTCTTCTGAGAACATAGGAGCTGAATTGTGAAGGTGTAAGTCATCCAGAAGCAAATTTATGTTGGACTTTCTACATTTAAAAAAAAAAATGATTGAGTCTTGAGAGAGTAGATGACCTCAAGGTAGCCAGTGAATAGGTTGGGGATGCTCTGGTGGATTAATGGAACATTTCATATTGGGTCCAGTGCCTTTCACCAAATGCCACTTCTCCATAGGAAAAGAAGGTAGAAGAAGGAATTCACTAGATACACATTTTCTTTCCCAATTCTGAAGCAGCCAATAGCTCAGACACAGCTTCCACTGCCAATTCTGGCTTAGTGAAAGGAAAAAATAATGTATCCCTATAATCTCCACCAAGTATTCTCAGTGGGATTGTGCAACCTGCCCCCATTACTGGAACAGATCTGATCACTGAAACTTGCAGAAGAGTATAAGTGACATCATTTACCCAGCTTGGTTCTGAGGCCTGAGTTCTTGCCTGTGTGATTTCCGAACCAATCCCGCTGTAGCTGTACAGTGCCTGTTAGAGTGACAATGTCTACAAGCTCAGAAACTGCAGATAGAATTTAGACCCAAATTACAGAATGAGGCCAAGAAACCCAACATTATAAAAAAAAATTTAATTAGGTGGGGAAAAGTTTAGCGACAATGTCCAAGAAATAAATCAAAAGAAAGCAAACCAAATCAGAAATGTATTTTTAAAAAAACTAAGCTTCAGATGCATCCAAGGTCAGCTGAATGGCTTTTATGCTTTATAATGATATTAAGTAAGAGCTTACTTCAGAATTATGACCTAGAGCACTGCAAGATCCTGAACGATTAAGGTCCATTCCAATTCTAAAATGGTATGAATCTCCCAGAATTCCTCTAAAGAAGCAGAACATGTGATTAATACATTTTGGATGTTCCCAACCATAAAGGTTAAAACAACAGCAGTTATTTGATTCATCTTTATATAACCAAACATGTAACCAACCAATCAGCCTTACAGAGCTTCTGGGTTCAGACCATGTTCCTAATGGTGAGCTTATTGGAAATCCAACCACCTGATAATAAGTGAAATGATATCGGTTATTAGGCAGCTCAGCACTGCAGAAGGTGCACTGAACTCTGAGTTACAAGGGTCAATCTGAAACCTAGTTCTGCTTCTGACAGCTGTGTAACCTTGGGCTAGTCACTTAACCTCTGAGCCTCAATTTCCTCCATAAGCCCCAAAATCTAAATTACTGACATTTGGGATGCTGTGAAAGTTTTAACCCTTTTACTAAATTATTTTTCATTTAGAATTGTAGACTTTTTTGAACCGAAAGAATCACCCATAGGAATTCACCAGAAATAAAAACAGTTCCCCAATCTCATCCCAGAGACTTGGAGCCAATGGTTCAGGACTGGGTCAATACCTGCCTTTTCAAAGAAATTGAATCCAGTACAGCCTCCTTTGGTGAGAAGAGTAACAGCTCAAGTCCCTGCAGATGAGGCTGCTGCCCCCTCTGGCTGAGCTCTCTTCCCTCTTTCCCTCACTCTCTGCCTCAATCACTGGACCCCCTTGCTATTTCTCCAGGAAATCTAACATTCATCTGGAGCTGTCCCTCTGCCAGTATTACAGTCACATCCACATTTGAGTGGCTAACTTCCTCACTTCCCCTGAGTCTCTGCTCAGATGTCCCTTACTTAATGCTACCTGTTCTAAGCCATATTTAAAACTGCAGCCCACACCCCTCTCTTGTCCCTGGGCCATTCCTGATTGCCCTTAGCCTGCAATTTTTCTTGTTTCATAGCACTTGTCACCTTCCAACTTACTATATAATTAGCTCATTTATTATGTTTATTGTCTATCTTCTCCCAGTAGAATATGGTTCTTCACAGGCAGGACATTTTTAGTTTCTTACTTACTGGTGGATCCCATACTTTTAGACAAGGCCTTCCATACAGTAAGTAGGTACTCAAATATTTGCTGAATGAAAGAATGAATTATTTCTCCCTTTGGCCTTTCTCATTTCTTAACTGCTATAATCCAAAAAAGGGTTTTTTTTTTTTTGCATATTGAGAGGCCTATCAGTTGGACTGCTTGTGTTTTTAGTTTTTAAAGTCAGTGAAAGTCTATGATCTGAAAATCCTCCTTTTAGTAATAAAATAAAGTAACAGTTTTTACAGAGATATTGGTAGCAATGCTATTTACAACAATGAATTGGGAAATAATTCACACATCAGTCAGTTAGGGAATGGCCCAACAGACTACACTAACAAGCCAGAATATCACTATTTAAATATAGTTAGGTGAACTAATGTTAGGTAAAAACAACATTAAATACATTATATTGATTACAAAGATGGAAATGTATGCATATTTGTTGAGGTTTATAAGTAAATGTAGTGACATGAAAACTGCACAAAACAATGAGTATAATATTAC